CGCCTCGCCTCGCCCGCCGCCAACCGTCTCGACGCTGCGCGCTTCTGCGCAGGCGCGAGGGTCGGGGCCAGGCCGCACGCGCTCGCCGTCAACGGTCTCGACGCCGCGCGCCTCGCTTCTGCGCACGCGCTGGGTGCCCAAGTGCTCGACGCCGCACACTTCTGCGCATGTGTGCCAATCCCCCCCCCTTGTCTTCCTCACCTCCCTTGCGCACGTGCGAGCCTTCTCCCCTTTGGTTCACGGACTTCTGCGCATGTGCTCCCCGCTCCACCGCACGCGGTTCACGGGTTTCTGCGCAGGTGTAAGCTCCGCCCCACGGGGTAGCCTCGCGGTTTGTGCGCATGCGCGAGGCGCGCCTCGGGGCCTATAAAAGGCGGTGTCAGGGAAGCGCGCTGTTAGAGTGCGGGTTAGCCGTGATCGGGTGTTGGTGTGGGAGGGCCTCTAGGTGGCCCCAGTGGTTGCAGCAGCAGCCTCGGGCCGGACTTGACTTGTGTCTGTGCTTGCTGCAGGAAAACAAGCTCCTGTATCAGCCTGTGCAAGCTTTCAGCATCCCGTGCAAAGAAACTCCCTGGCTCCGTGCAGCGCTGGGTGGATCCTGCCAAGGTGCTTTGCTTCACAGGGTTACCAACCCTCCAGGCTTGCCCTGGGGCCTTCAGGAATCAGATATAAATCTTCAGGAGACTGCTGAGGGTCACCCAGGAGATAAAGGATAGGACATTCATTAAAATGAGTATCAAACGTTGAATCCAATTTGTACAGTCGTCCAGTGGGTTTTTAAAATATAATAGTAACGTGCAGTTGCCTTCCTGATGTGAAGTCGATGCACGGTAATCCATAACTGATCTACGCAAGCGTGTGAGCCCGTTGGTATTCTGGAAATCTGGAATAGATTCAAACAGCTGGTAACCCGACTGCTCCACCCAAAGAAAAGATGGAAATCTGCTCTGCCTCAGTTAACCAGTTACACTGAGCTCTGCTGGGGCCCGGGTTTCTAGAGCAAGCATGGAAACAAAGTGCTGTTGTTGTGAATGCAGCACAGGCAACATATTGGGAGGGGGACGACCGGTGCCTTTCGCTGCCTCGGTAGAAACATCTGCCCTGCACGTACTCTTTGTGCGTGTCATCGTTCAGCCATGCAAAAGGAAATTGGGTTGGGCTGAAGAAAGCTGTCCTACTTCAAAATCTTGGCCCTGCTAGAGAACATGGCTAGAGGGGGGAAGGAATGGCAAAAAACATCTGCTGATGCTGCAGACCTTCCCTGTCAGTGAATCAGTGCAAGCTAAGAATCGTGTGCATGTTCCAGAGGCAGCTGATGGTGAGATCTGCACTCGTGGCTGTGCTCCTAGAGCTGCAGGGCTCTGTCCACCTGACTAATTCAGGGATCTCTTTCTTTAAATGCATCTCTCTTGACAGAGGAATACACCCACTTGTTTTCACAGCTGCTTCATGCGTGGATATTGGCTTCTCTTCCCTCTTTACTCCTGGTGTGTTAAAGCTGTGCTCTAATTATAAATGAGCCCCGGCTGTGTGCTGCTTGATGTTTGCTCATCTGAATGCATTCAATAATGAAATGCCTGATGATGAAAGGGTGTCTGTACAAGACTGGTCAATGAGTGGTTTCACCACCTTTCCATTGGAGCTTACAGAATTTTCTTCACAAATGAAGTTCTTGTCTTTAAGATGCCATCTCCAACAATGCTGTGCCTTTTGATAAGCAACTGGGGCAGTAGTTCAGTTTTAGTCTCAGGGGCAAGGGAAGAGCGAGATCAGCCACTCAGGAAAATTTTGCTTGTAGATCTTGCATCTCTGTATACCAAACAGCGCTGTGTGCACCCAAGAAACTTCCAGGAACAAAGTACACTGGGTTACAAACACTCCGTTTTGTGCTTTCATTTGTAATTGCTCCTTGAGATCCTGAAATGTTTCCTGGAAGATAATTCTGTTCCTGTTGTATAGTTTCAATGTGTAGGAATGGCCATGAGTGGCAGGTTAGATGCACTAGATCGTAACTGTAGGGGTACTTACAGGTTTGGTCTTTTGAAGAGCACTGAAAAATGTTAGAGTTAAAATAAATCCCCCCTCTCCTTAAGCCAGTATTTTGGCCCTGAAGAGCAGCATCCTTTTAAGTGTATAAAGAGCAGTTTGCTGTTACATAGTGGTTTAATTCAGAGCTATGTTTTCCTGACTAAGAAGTATGATTACAGTGGGGAAAACATTAAAGGACATCCTAGATTTCAGAGTCCTCTGGGCACAACAGCTTCTGTAGTCACAGGAGCACTTCTCTGGGCTTGACAGGCTGGAAAAGTTTGTAAATAAGTCTTATTTTCATAGAGAATGGGTCAATCACCCTAATTCTGAGAGCACCTAGAAGATACTGGAAATGGTTTCATTGCTCTAGGTTTTTCTCTCTCCTAATTAATCATCACTTTTTGACCTGCCCTCCACTGTTAGAGCCCTAGTCCCAAGAAGGTCTTTCCAAATTACTTACCACTGGCTGGGAAATGGGGTGTTTCTGCTACATGCGGGTTATTTCCCCTTCCATCAGGATAGCATATGTCAGGCTTCCATGCAGTCAAAAAACATTTATAGTTTCTGCTTGATTGAGAGACTTGAAACTAAACAAGCTGGTTACTTTGTGAAACAACATAAAGCCTTAGTTTGTTACTAAGCTCCCTGGTATGGGGTTTGTGATGGCTGTGAAGTGTCTGTAGTTAGAATCATAGAAAATGAGGGTTGGAAGGGACCTCCACAGGTCACGTCTAGTCCAGCCCCCACTGTCTCATCCCAGCCAAGGCTTTGTCTACCCAGGCCTTAAAAACCTCCAGGGATGGAGAGTCCACAACCTTTCTGGGGAGCCTATTCCAGTGCTTTACTACCCTCCTCATGAGAGAGTTTTCCCCAATATCCAGCCTAAATTTCCCTTGCTGCAACTGGAGACTGTTGTTCCTTGTTCTGTCATCTGCCCCCACTGAGACCAGCCCAGCTCCAGCCTCTTTGTAACCCCTGCAGGGAGTTGGAGCCTGCTGTTCAGTCCCCTCTACCTTCTCTGCTGCAGACTAAATAAACCCAGTTCCGTCATCCTTTCCTCACAAGTCGTGTGCCCCAGCCCCCTATTTTTGTTGCCTTCTGCTGGTCTCTATTTGTCCACATCCTATCTGCAGTGGCAGGGCCAGAACTAGACACAGGACTCCAGAAGTGGCCTCACCAGTGCCAAATAGACGGGAAGAATCACTTCCCTCGCCCTGCTGGCAACGCTCCTACTAATGCAGCCCAATATGCCGTTAGCCTTCTTGGCAGCAAGGGTACACTGACTCATACTTAGCTTATTGAAACCCCAGGTCCTTTTCTGCAGAGCTGCTACTTAGCGAGACAGCCCCCAACCGGTGCCTGGGATCGTTCCATCCTAAATGCAGGACTTTGCACTTGTCCTCATTGAACCTCATGAGATTTGTTTTGGTCAGTCCTCCAACTGGTCTAGGTCAGGGATAGACCACCTTTGGCACAGGTGCCAGAGTACAGCACTCAAAGGCATTTTACTCGGTATGCATGCCTTGGGCCGGAGATGCACTGCAACAAGTATTGGGCCCCTCGTGGATCCCCCACCATCTGTGCCTGGCACACCAACATTTTCCAAGTTGAGGTCCCGGGTGTTTTTGAGCCCTGGTCTAGGTCTTTCTGAATCCTAGCCTTACATTCCAGCATATCTACTACCCCCCACCGCCATCTTGGTGTCATCTGCAAACTTGCTGAGGGTGCACGCAATCCCATCTTCAAGGTCATTGATTAAGACATTGAACAAAACCAGCCCCAGGACCAAACCCTGGGGCATGCCACTTAATACCAGCTGCCAACTAGGCACAGAGCCATTGATTACTACTTTCTGAGCCCAATGATCCAGCTACTTTTCTATCTACCTGGTCTGTTCAACCAACCAGTACTTCCTTAGTTTGCTACTAAAACCACCTGAAAATAACCCACTGCTTGCTTATGTGAAACCATGAGAAGAAAGTAACATAAAGAAGTCCTTTTGGACTCGGTAGCTGAAACCCTGGCCAACAGCACAGCAGGGGTCTGAACAGTTCAATTGTTCTGTCCAGGCAGTGCTAAAAGTGAGAAAAACCAGACTTTCTCCATTTTACAAAAATAGCTCGTATCAAGGTTTAATGCTTTGTCTTTTTTACAGAAGTTAGGAGCAAAAAGCTCCCTGTGTATCTTATCTGCAGCTTCTTTTCATTTAAGTTTTACCATTCCCTTTGTGCTCATCTTGTTAAAAATACAAACACAGCAGGTCAGTGCAGTCAAGTCCTCCCATGCCATCTTAAAAATTTCTAGTCATAGCAATACAAAATAAAACGATTTCCCCATTTAGAAACGGTCATTCCTTATAACAGTGTTTCCCAACCTTTTCTGTCCCACGGCACTTACCTGGGCTTTTTCAGTTCCGCAGCACACCGGCCAAATGGGGGGGCAGGGAGGGTAATCGGCTGGGGCGCAGTGGCAGCAGTAGCAACACTGACTGTAGCCATGCCCCCCACGATTCTGTGGCACACCTGGATGCATCTGACAGCACACCAATGCGCCACGGCACACCGGTTGGGAAACGCTGCCTTATAACAAGGACTGTACTAAGATCCAAGCTTAGTATCTCAAAATGTAT